ATTAAGATTTTCAATTTCTGATAAGTCGTCTTTTCTTAGAAACTTGCGGGCCTGGGAGATGGCTTGGTAGAAATAAGTGCTTCCCTGGCAAGTGCAAGGGCCTGAGTTCAATCCTTGGTTCCACCAAAACAAACAAACAAAAAAAACGAAAACAAAAAACCAAAACCAAAACAAAACAAAAAAAAAGAAATTTGTTATTTTCATTCGCATTTTCAAATTTTTTGAAATGGAGTTTTCAAAATAATCTTGTTAATGATTACGGTACCTATAGTACATTTTCTTGTCACTATTTGTGTTTTTCTGTTATTTCTTTTCCTTGTTTTTAATCCATTTCATCAGTTTTGATTTGATTACTTTTCTTCAAAGAACTGTTTCTTTTGATGTTTATGATTTTTGTAAATCTTTGTTCTTAGCTTTCTTTATAGGTCTTTTTTCTGCTTTTTAAAAAAATTTTTATAGGTCTCTTTTCTAATATTATTTTTTTGTATTTTTTAGTAAAGGGTCTATAGGGTGTTCAGGGTCTCAGTACTAGACTGGACTCAAGTGATCCACCTATTTACAGCCTCCCAAGAGCTGGGATTACAGGTGGGCGCCACCACGCCCAGTCTCAATTGCTGTGTCAGCATGCCCCTGGAGGTGGGGCCTGCCCAGGGATCAAACCCGTGGCCCCTGCGTCTGCTTGCAGAGCCTGTAATCTGCTGAGCTATTTGGCCGGCCCTTCTAATATTATTTATTTTCTTTCTTTTTTAAAAATTTTGAGGGGTCGAGGAGATGGCTCAGTGGAATAAGTGCTTCCCTGGCAAGCGCAAGGGCCTGAGTTCAATCCCCAGTTCTGAAAGAAAAAAATAAATAAATAAAAATAAAAAATTTGAGATGGGTCTCATGATGTAGTTCAGGCTGGCCTTGAACTTACTCTGTAGCTTCTGCTGGTCTCAAACTCATGATCTTCCTGCTTCAGCCTCCTACATGTTGGGGCTACAGGCATGTGCCACCATGCCCAGCCTCTTTTCTAATTTTCTGAGTGCTTATTATGTAGCAGGCACTGTTCTTGGAGCTTTAGAATTAAAGTTCACTGAATCCACCAAGAACCTTGTGGGGGCAGATGAACTCCCCAAGGGAGGTTAAGTAAAGTGTCCGCGGCCCCAGAGCTAAGCAGCCTGGTCAGGCGTGAGCCCGCAGCCAGCTCTGCAGCAGCCTCTCACATGGCACCCAGCACAGGGCCACAGCGTTGCCTGCTTCTGAAACCACTCTGTGGACAGTGCACCTGTCCTCATCAAACATACCCAAACTTCAACACATAGAATTGTCATTAAAACAACAACAACAACAACAACAACAACAACAACAACAACAACAACAAAAACTCCCAGAACTAGATATTGAATCCAGGGCTTTGACACTGAGTTACATCGCCAGCTCTCCCTCTGTGTTAGTTGATGCATTGTGTCAACTTGGCTGAATGAGCTCCAGCAATTCTCAGGGTGGGGGCCCCCGCCAGGCAGGCGGGCAGGGCCCAACCTAGGGTACCACTGGGCCAGCACTGGGGTGTGCCTGGTTCAACCCGAGGGCCGTGGACCACCTCAGAGTGACTCAGCACAAAAAGTGTATCTAAAGGAACTGAGGAAGGCTTCCTGCAGCCCGGCCCTGCCCCACTTCTGTGGAGAAGTCCCAGTCTTTCTGTGGAGAAGTCCCAGTCTTTGGAGGAGCTTGATCTTCACAGCCGCGCCACAGATCTGTGATCTTCACTGTGGAGCGCTGGTCTTCGCAGTCAGTGTAGAAGGAACAGAGAGGCTTGATGGACGCCGCAGCTGCTGCTCCTCCTCTGCTCTTCACTGTCTTCTGCTGCCATCAACTGCTGTCATTTGCCTTGGAGCCAGCGAATATGGACTGAACCCTCCAATAACTGTGAACTAAATAAACCTTTCCTTCCTTCATTTTCAGTGTCAGGTATTTGTCCCAGCAACAAGTAAAAAAGTAAATAAGATATCCACCCCCCTTTTTGAATTTTGAGACAGAATCTCAATAACTTGCTAAGTAGCCCAGGATAGACTCAAACTGACAGTCCTCCCACCTGAGCATTCTGGAGGCTGGATTACAGGTGTACACCAGCATACCTGGATAATATTTTTTAAAAATTTATTTCTTTTTACAAACCACAGGTTCAGAAGCTTATTTCTCAATTTCCAAACCTAAGCATTTTTTTCCCGATTTCACTGTGTCCAGAGAGCATGTCCCATAGGAAATCAACCCCGCATAATTCTCCAATACAAGGATAGACATAAATTATCTGATGTTCCTATCATGTTAGACAATAGACAAAATTCTGTGAGGCTGGGTGGGGTGGCACAGGCCTATAATCCTGGCACATGGGAGTCCTCTTGAGTTCAAGGTGAGCCTGGGCTACAGTAAGTCTAAGGATAATATTGTAAGAACCTCTCAAAAACAAACAAACAAACAAACCAACCACTCACCAAAGTAGAAATAATACTGGGGAAAACTATTATGCTGGGTGTGGTGTCACAAGCCTGTAATTTGTGAAACTCAGAAGGCTGAGGCAGGAGGGTCACAAGTTCAAAGCCAGTCTGAACAATTTATCAAGGCCTTTCTCAAAATAAAACATATAAAAGGATATTTTAGGCAGAAAAGGATGTAGTTCAGTGCAAAGGCCTGGGTTCAACTCTTAGTACTGCAAAAAATCTCCCCTAAACTCAAGCACATACACACACACACACACACACACACACACAATTATTTTACAGAAATATTGCTGCCTTTCCTATACTTTCTCAAGACATACTTCCAAAAACAGAAAAATAGGGCAAAACATTAAGTCCCTTGATACTTCCAACTAAGCCATCCTAAGTCACCCTACTACCAGAGTTTGAGGGTGCCTATTTCCTTGCACATATTTTCCCCATCCATGAGGGTTCTTTATGTTTGTCTTTTTGAGATAAATTTTTGCTGAGCAGTTCAGGCTGGTCTTGAACTCACTTTGTAACCCAGGCTGGTCTCCAAATTGCACTGACCTTTCTGCCTCAGCCTCCCAAGTGCTGAGATTATAGGCATGCACCACCAAGCCTGGCATGAGGGTTCTTTTTTAGAGTCTATTCAATAGGTGGAAAGAGCTACATTTTGGTTTAAAATGTTTATACAGATTGTTGATAAGGATGAACATTTTAATGAATGTTTTCTATTTATGTGGCTTTTTTGGGACCATTTGTAAATCAATGATTTTTGTGTTATATACATAAGTTTTTTTTTCTTTTATTGTATTTTTGTCTTTTTGAGGCAGGGGCTTGCTATGCAGTTTAGGCTGGACTGCATCACCACACCCAGCTTAAATAAGATTTTCTAAGGGCATAGGAGATGGCTCGGCGTCATGGCATCACTGCCTGCCTGGCAAGTGCAAGGTCCTGAGTTTGATCCCCAGCACAAAAGAAAAGATTCTCCTAGCTTCAGTTGCACACTGTGATCAACCCGCCTTAGAGAATTTGCTGCCAAATGCCAAAAGCCAATTTCACCTTGTGTTCGTTGATACATTGTGTCAACTTGGCTGATTCAGAACCGGCAGATCTCAGCGTGGGCGCCTAGCCCTGCAGGTGGGCAAGGCCCAGGAATTGAGAAAGGCAGGAAGCTGCCCTGCCCCGCTTCGGTAGAGAAGCCCCAGTCTTTGGAGGAGCTTGATCTTTGCGGACGTGCCACTGTGGAGGAGCTCCGATCTTCACAGTGGAGCAGTCTCCGCAGTCAGCGCAGAAGGAAGAGAGAGAGGCTTGATGGACGCTGCTGCTGCTCCTCTGCTCTTCATTGTTTTCTGCCGCGTGAACTGCTGTCGTTTGCCTTGGCGTTTGCCTTGGAGCCAGCGAGCGGAAAACGGACTGAACCCTCCATTAACTGTGAGCTAAATAAACCTTTCCTTCCTTCATTTTGAATGTCGGGTATTTTTCCCAGCAACGAGTAAAAAGTAACTAAGACACACCTCCTTGGAGTTGTGAGGACAGGGCTCCAGAAGAGGCCACTGGAGCCTGGTCAGAGCAGTGGACAAGTCTGGCCTCAGGTCAGTGGCAAGACTGAGGAGCTGCTGCTCATTTCTTCACCTGACTCGTATTCACGTGACAACTGAGTTAAAGAGGGGCAAGATGGTTTGAGTCACAACACCCTCACAGACCTGACAATTCAGTGCAGAGACAGACACTAATCAACCCTTGAGAAAAACACACAATTAGAAGCAGAAGCAAACACAACGAAGAGTATATGCTCTACGATAGAACCACGGGGTACTCAAATGAGGAATGATCAGACTTGGGTAGTGGAAGACGGACGTTCTGGGTAGCCTATCTGAAGATGTCACATTTATACTGGGACAAAGGATGAACGACTTAAACAAAATGAGGGAAGTGTGTTTCAGGTGGAAGCAGTGGCTCTGTGAAAGCCCTGGCCCAGGAAGGAGCGCATAGTCTACTGTTGCAACTGCAGTTTTCACATGTCACAGAGGAGAGGGGCAGCAAAAATGTACAACTTGGAAGCTCTGAGAGAGAACTTTCTAAAAGAAATGGTAGCTTTTAAGACATTCTTAACATGGCTCTAGGAATGACAACTTTTCCTTTTGCTAAGAATATTCAAATGGTTAAAATTCTCTAAAACTTGATGTCTGAACAGTGATCCTAAGAGGGCCAGTTGTTTTACATACAAAACAGCTTTTGCCTCAGAAAAGGCCTGATGTTTCTAAGCTGTTTCCAGGACTGTCCCTAACTTAGGAAGACAGAGCTCAACAGACAAATATTAATCACACAGGGCTAAACAGGATGTGGACTTTGCCAAACAGCACAGAATCTATCATTTCATGTTGGGATACGTTTCTGGCACCAGGGCTGCGGTCTGCCTTGGGAAATAGTCACTTTCAATCTGCCTGGGGAAGCCAGCTATTGAGTGTTCCCACACACACAGGGCCTAAGCACGTCCGCAACAGACAAAGCGGGCATGGAGTAAGGCGGCCAACGTACTGTTCTCGCGGACCAGGCAGAACTCCCACGCGCTCTGGCTCTCCAGTGTGCTCTCCAGGTCCACGGCGACATTGGGCTCACTCTGCTTCTCCAGGCGGTACTGGGGGCCTGGAAGATTAAAGGGCAGGAGGTGGGGAGGAGGTCTGAAAGAGTGAATTTAACATTTGGAAATTACCCCATATTGGTGAAAGCTGGGAAAGCGAAAGGAAAATACTGAAGTATGTTTTGGGAGTCTAGCTAACCCAGACAGAAGGGCTTGGGATTTTCCCCACAATTCCCTGCACTTATCTGTTCTCACTCAGTTCTCCCCCAGATCAGGTAAGAGGTAAGTGGCTTTTGGGTGAGACTGACCTGGAGTCACACATGGCCACACTGTTTCTCAGCATGAGCAAGTAACCTACTGAACCTCTTCCAAGTGTGTGTTGTGGGGATCCACACTAATCTTGAAGGATTATTGTGAAGATCATAGATGATATAGGAAAAACACTTAGGAATGTTTCTGCCAGATAGGAGGCACTCCTTTAATGGTACTCACTATTAATAGCTATCATTCTAACGAATTACAGTCAGGAATAAGGTATTTTTAGACTCATGATGAAGGTTCAAAAATTCAAACAATTTGAAAAAAAAAGAAAAGAAAAAAGAAATTTCAGGTTTCTGGGTTATGGTGATAAGACGGTTGCTGGTTCACATTTTTGTCAAAACAGTCATGAAAACACAAGAGATAAAGGTTCAGTAATCTTACAGGCCAGGCATTCTAGCCCTCTTGTATCACACAGAGGATTCTGGCAGATCTTAATGAAACAATGGGGCACGTTATACATTTATTCATGGATTTCTTCGTCAAGCAAAATGACAATGTTGTTGTTCACAGGGAACTCCTAACACAGGTCCAATGACCAGAATCAAACAACTGTTTCTGTGATTTGTTAAGGGTTATTGAAAAGATGAGAGGCACAGGAATCTGTCTGAAAGGTGTGTCTGCTCAGACAGAAAGAGGCATGAGGGATCCAAGGAAAGTGACAGAGGCTGTGCTGGGCTCCCAAGTGGAAATGTATTTTTACATACATTCTTCAGCTGTGGTCAACTTGTTGATTAGTCACATTTAGTACTTCCTCATTAATCATTTCTAGTAGTTTTCCTTTCCCATGTTATATGTTCATCTGTAGCATTGTAGAGATTCACTTTATTTTCACAGTTTTGTTGATCTTTTCTCTAACTGGAATTTCATTAGTGCTTCTACAAGAGTTCTTAATAGTTATTCCTGAAGTTCTTACATATACCCAGTCTCTTTTAGGCTACTTAAATAAATCCACATGTAGAAGTCTACATAGTTCTTTTAAGCTGTAATATACTGTATTTAAATCAACAATGCAATGAGTTTCAACATCAGATACAGTAGTGTTCTAATTTTAAAAATGTATATAAGAGTATCGAATGCAGAGGATTCTTCTAGTCCCTGCTACCCATCAAGGTTAACACCTGTCAACTGACAGGAGTGCTTGCTGATCACTGGATATGTGCACAGTGATTACTAGAAGTAGTCACAGAAAAATCACACTTGGCTGAACTTTTAGACAACCTAGCTGTGGGTATGTTTAGGCCATTACAGGAAGGAGTCACCCCTGAACTCAGCTGTTTTCTAAGACACTGGTCTAGGAAATCATCTCATGGCTCGATCTGCAGCCCCAACACCTCCTAGCAACACAATGTGTGAGACACTGTCATCACTTCTCTGAATTTACAGGGAAATATGGGTAAAAGTTTAGTTGTAATACAGCTGACCCTCCACAGCCATATCTATAGATGCAATGAATTCCGAATCGAAACTTTTTAGGGGGAAAAATTGCACCCATACTGAATATATATAGACTATTGTAATTATTCCCTAAACAATACAGTGTAAGTTTTTTATACAACATTTAAACAACATTAGACATTGAACACAATCTAGAGAACCAGTTCTCCATGGATACCAAGGGAAAATTATAATTCATTTAAATAAGTCAAAATGTGGGAACTCATGTCTATCTAACAACAGAGTAACTGCTGAAATACCAGGAAGATGTTAAGAGTGATCCCACAAAAATAATACAGTAAATATAGCACAATATTTGCAGGATGATTACAACTGTAAAAAATCTGTAAACACATAGAAGATAAAAAGACTAGATGGGCTGGGGAGATAGCTCAGTAGAATAAGTGCTTGCCTGGTAAGCATAGCATCCTGAGTTCAATCCCTGGTATCGCAAAAAAAAAAAAAAAAACCCAACCTAGAAGCTTAGTTCTAAAATGTGAACACTAGTGAATTATGAGTGCTTTTATTTTTCCTTTGTATTTTTTTATATTTTTAAAATTTCCTAACAAAGCGTACCTTAGAAAAACATTCAAAGTTCTCTAATTCATTACTAGATCATTTTTTCTGAAATATGTAATTATGGCACATTGTGGCCTCTCCAATGTGTTTTTCACATGCAATAATCTAATTTAAAGCAGACAGGACCTGTTTATGCAGGCAGGCATTTTCCTCTTACACAACCCTGTGCCCAGGCATGGGTGCTCTGGGAGTAGTGCGCAGGGTGCTAGACTCCTGAGCTGTCAGCCCACTGATACCGGAACGTATGTACTCCTGCACTTTCTTGAGCAAGGAAAGCCAAGGCCTAGCTGCAAGGAGGGAATTTCAGGCTCCTTCTGCACATTTTTCTTCCAGTTTCTGTAGCTGCCTGGAAAATACGACCCAGGGAGATGGGGTGAAGGGTTGGGGGGAAATCAGGGAGTACAAGGAAGGTTCCCTACCCCTATAACATCATCCCTTGACCTACTCTCAAAGCCTTAAATGCCATCATTTTGACATTTATCTTTTTGTTTCTTGGCTTCTGCATATATTTCTATTAAATTAGTGTGTCTCCTGAAAATAAGTTTTAGGACCTTGTTCTTGAATCCTATTATGATGACTTTTAATTCTGCTTTTATGTTCATTATGTGCCACATATACTCTGTATTTCATTTCCTTGAATTTTTATAGCAATGCTGAGAGATTGATATTATCCTCCCCATTTCACAGATTTGGACTTCGTGGAGTAACCTGCCCAAGATCACAAAGGAAGGCAGGCAGGCAGGCAGGCAGGCAAAAAAACAACCCAAGGGTCTTTGGGCTCTTTAGAGCTTTAGCTTGTATGCTTTGAACCTTTCTCCTGTAAACTGTAAATTACTGGCCAATTATAAAGAGGCCATAGTTTATACTATAAGTATGGATTTTTGTTGATTTGTGGATTCATCTGGGTTCTGAATCATTTAATTTACGGTTTCTATAAATTCAAAATGAAAATGATCTGAAATAATTTATTTTAATGAAATACACACCCCAAATATGCCATGCTGTGGCTGTATTCTGGATCCATAGTAGCACAGAACTCCCTATGAAAATATGATTCATGGCACTTTACCCCGCCAGGAAGAGCCTGCCATCCTTCCCTGAGGGTATTCCTATCCATGCCTGGTTTTGTCAGTAACTGAAATTCTGAATGTTGCCTTCTGCCCTGGGTACACCCTGCTCTTCCATACAAGTAAACAAGTTAGAAACCCACTTCTCAACTCATTAAAGGACTGAGTCATCTTGACTTTAGGGAAAACGGGATGATGTATTAGTTACTTTTCTCTTGCTGCTGAGACAAAATACCCAATACCCAAAGTTAAGGGAGGAAAGGTTTATTTAGCTCAGAGTTTGTAGAGGTTTCAGTCCATCATGGGCTGGCTCCCAGGTAGGGTGGTATGGCAGAGAAGAAATAGTACATGGTGAGTAGAGGATAACAAGGCAACAAGGGACGACAGTGCTTTCTGTCCCTGACATCTAATCCAGGCTACTTTGTGTAGTTAGCACTCACACATTTAATGTTAGTACTCTTGACCCTAGCACTGCACCATGAATCAATCCCAGCATCACATACTGTCACCTCTAAAAAAGCCTACCTATGACTGCATGAGGCTTTGTGGGGACATCCAGACACAAGTCCTAACAGGTAGTTAAGTCAAGGATGTGATTAAGGATGTAAAACCAAATGGAAAAGTGCCTCTTACAAATCCACACTTCTCTCCTTAATTCTTGCCTGAATCTTACTAGCTAAAAGATCTCTCTAAGAAAGGCTGTTTAGTACATTTCCCCTAGAAAAAGGCCAGACTGATCCTTTCAGGCTATATGGTATGAAGAGAGCATAATGGATACTCAGTGTGGGCCTGTGAGCTCTGATTTGGGGCCCATTTACTTAACCTATGTTAGTTTTTCACCTATAAGCTTGGGTAATGATAGAACTACCTAAGAGACCAGTCAGAAGAGTCAACAAGCTTAGAGTTGTAAAGCAGTACCTGACACAAGGAGTGTTAAGTGTCAGTCATCCTCATCCTCATCATGGCACTGAAGCAGTCATCAAGAGATTATAATCCTGATCATCTGCCACCACCAAGGAACCTACTATGTGGCTACAGATCATCTCATTAATCTTTAGTCAATGTAGGACATAAATAATATGAACTTTATTTGCCAGGGGAAGAAACTGATTATAAAGGCTAAATAACTTGCCTGTTGTCTTTCAGGAAGTAGTGGAACTAGAGCTCCCCGTGTAACTAGGATTCCCAGATTTATATTCTCTATACTCCAGTATGAACCACACAGCATGTTACTGAAACCAAATTTTAAATACTGTCTGTTGATGAGATTATGATTACCTGGATCCACAATATATATCAAACTGCAGGCTCTACCAACTGCTTGTTTAATCTTTAGGCAGCTGACATGGATGAAAACAACAGTAGCCAAAAGTCATTTCAAAAAGACAAGCTGTGAGGTCAGTTTCTGTGAATATACTTTCACCAAAGAAATGATTGTATAAAATACACAAGGTTCTTTCACACTGAATAGGACATGGTTCTCTAGGCAACAGCTACTCTTTGGAAAAAGGTTTTAAAATGTCACAGCTGCACAAAAAGCCACAGGCCCTCCACCTCACAGCCGAGAAGAATATGAAAGAAGATTTTGGGAAGCAGTTACTCTGCAGTGATGAGGAAACCGTTTGGGCAATCCAGTGATGCGTTTATTGCAGCAATACTATGTC